TGAGCGAGCGCGGCGGAGCTTCGCACGTGCTCCGCGCAACCTCGGCTCCACCCGGCAGCGAAGCCCCGGGAGGCGGGCCCGGCCCTGCCCGACTCCTTCCTCCTTCCCAGCTACCTGTTGAGACTTGCAGCTCGACCTTGCAGAGCCCCGAAGACTGACGTGGACGTCACCAGTTGGCGCCTCCGGGTCAGGACGGACTCGCCGTCGTCGCGCGCCGCTTCCTGGAAGCTTCGCGGGGCGCCCGTGCGGGCCACAGGTACAGGTACGAGGGTAGGAGCCCGAGCCCCGGCCTCTCTGTGCCCCGGAGCTAGGACGCGACCCCAGGAGGCAGCCCGGGAAGACTGAACCCAGGACCTGGTCCACGCTAGTCCTCTCAGAGCATTTGTGTATTGTTTTCTGGTTTTGCACAGCTGGGAATGAAACCCAGCGCTTCATACATGCTCGGCAGGTGCTCTACCACTGAGCTACAGTCCTAGGTCTTTTTTGTTTTTTTTTTTTTCTTTTGAGACAGTCGCACTAAGTTACCCAGGCTGGTATCAAACTTGTGATCCTCCTGCCTCCACCCCCCCGAGTGGCTGGGATTACAGATGTACGCCAATGTGCTTATCTGACAAAAGATTTTTCAAGGTATCAGCAAACTGAATGAAGGCTCTCTCCACGCCCTAAACATTAAGAACATGCTCCTTGGCTAGCTTTGTACCAAAGAAACCATTGTCATGAGTTTTAAAAGTTCACGTGAAGCTGAGCATGGTGTCACACACTTGTGATCCCAGCAATTGGGAGGCTGAGGCAGGAGGATTCCCTGGGCCACCTAATGAGTTCAAGGCCAGTCTGAACTACATAGTGAGACCTTGTCCCCTTCCCCCCAAAAAAATAACCAAGAAAATTCACGTGAAACAGATTCGTGCATAGAGACTTATGGAAAAGCTTATAGGAAAAAAATCTGAATTCCTTTATGCACTAAAAAAGGTTTTTAAAAACATAGCAAAGTCTTGGAGGATAAAAAAATAAAGTTCTGGGCTGGAGATTTAGCTCGGAGACACCACTGTACCTGCCTTGCAAATGCAAGGTCCTGAGTTCGATCTCCGGTACCAAAAAATTTAAATAAAGTTCTTAGTCATTTTATAGATTTTTTAAAATACAAATTAAATTTGCAGGAATGTGCCATTTCTCTTCAGATCAGAAAGTCTAGCAGGAGTATTGGAGTGTAGCTCAGGGTTGGAGTGCTCCTATAGCACACCAGAGCCCCTGTCTTGGATCCTAGAAAAACATGGGGGTGGGGCATTCTGATGTTCCTTGTGGCCTGGGAGAGGCTGGCAGATGTGCCACACACTAGAGTAGGAGGAAGTAGATCTGAGCAAGCTTTGAAAAGACCCAGCTGTTCTCCTCCTGGGAGTCTGCAGTGAGACCTGCAGTGTGTGCGGTGACAAGGGCGTGCACCAAGAAGAGGCTTTCCCTGGTAAATGATGGAAGCAGTCCACCTCTGTGTGTGAAGGGCATTCGGAAGGCCTGGTACTGGGCCCCTGGAAACAGAACGCGGTACTGGGGTATAGCTCAGTGCTCATGTGTGCTTAGCACGGCTAAGAGCCTCAAAAAGAGCAAAATAACTCTCATTACCTGCCTGTGGCATGCTCCTGTAGTCCCATCATTTGGAAGGCTGAGGCAGGAAGATTCCTTGAGCCCAGGAATTCAAGGCTAGTGTAGGGAACAGCAAAACCCCATCACACAAACACACTCACAAACGATATATTTAAAAAGCAGCTAGTTTGCTGCCGTTGGCATTTGGAAGGAAGTTGGAGTAGGACAAGTGTAGATGTGCTGTCTTCACGAAAGAGACACAAAAGAGACGTGTAGATGTGGTGTGGGGCTGACACTGAGGAGAGCTCTGAGCTGTTTATTATGTTTATTTATGTCCCATCTTTTTTGTTTCTTTTTTTGTTACTGGGGATTGAACTTGTTTTGTTGCTGGGGTGGGGTCTTACTATGTAGTTGAGACTGACCTGGAACTCATGTAGGCCAGGTTGGTCTCCAACTCAGCAGCAGTCTTCCTGACTCAGCCTCCCAAGTGCTGGGATTATAGGCGTGCGTCACCACGCCCAGCTGTCCCATCTTTTTTATTTTTTATTTTTTTATGAAATCCTCTGGAATGCTGTAAACAGCACATAAGTAATAAATGTTGCAACACACATATGTGTCCATAAACAGTGTACAACGTTATCTTATGTGTTGTGCTTTTTCTCCTTTTGATTGTTTTAAAAAACCCCTATAAACCCATGTTGATACATGTAACTTATCTGTTGCTTAAACCACTACACAGTGTTTCACTGCTTGAATACATCTAGTTAGTCCATTTTTTGCTACTGTTTAGAGACAGGAGTTCTGTATGTAACCCGGGTTGGCCTTGACCCCATTGTAATCCTCCTGCCTCAGCCTCCTAAGTGCAGGGACAACAGGTGTGCACCCCCATGCCCAGGTAGTTGATCCTTTCTTTTTTTTTTCGGTACCTGCGATTGAACTCACAATCTTGTGCTTGCAAGGCAGGCATGGTGCCACTGAACTACATCCCCAGCCCTAGCTGACCCATTTTTGTGATAACGTGTAGGTTGTTACCCAGTTTTCCCAACAGTGCTTCAGTTCCCATCTTTGTATTTCTCCTTGCCTATGTGGGGAAGTATCTAGATCAGTGAGCATCAAAGCAACCTTGCCTCATACTCTTGGATTAAAAGCCCTGGCAGCCGGCATCCCTAATGTGTGACTATGTAGTTCCTTAGACATTGCTCATGTGAACTGCTACACCACAATTCATCGATACACCAAAGAAAGGCGAAAATAACCACAGAAAGGGTGATTTAAAAACTGAAGTAGGGCCAAGTGGTCCCATCAACACAAGAGATCCCGAAGCACAAGGATCGCTTGAACCCAGGAGCTCAAGATTGTCCTGGGCAGTGTAGCAGAACTTGGCAGAGAGGAGAGGGGAAGGGCCAGGTGTGCTTCACTTGGGAGGCTGAGGCCAGAAGATCACTGAGTCCAGAATCAGCCTGGGCTAAGAGTGAGACCCTGTCTCAAAAAAGAAAAAAAACCAAGTTGGTTAAAGATGCTTGATTACTTCCCCACTTATTTATTTATATTTTTAATTGGAGTAAAAATAGAATTTGCCATCTTAACCCTTTTTCAGTTGCAGTTAGTAGTGTTAAGTTAGTCCTGGCTCCACAGCACAGGCACAGATGACCCTGAGTTCCTTACTCTGTCCACTTTCATGAATATCTACCATTGTTCATTTAAAAACTGCGTCCTTGCACCTAATACAACTAGATGGTCATTCTTCAATCTGTCTGCCAGGGTTTTTCTTAAATTGGATGCATAAATTTGTTTTCCTGATGTTTATCAGAAAATACTACCTTTGATAGTTTTGACTAAAAACGGTTCAAAACCCAAGAGACTTGTTTCAGATATATAGATATAGATTAGATACAGATAATTTTTTTTTTTGTACCAGGGATCGAACTTAGGTCCTTATGCTTGTGAGGCAGGTGGCAGAGCCACTGAGCTAAATCCCTGGCTCTGTTTCAGATATTTTTAATGGCCTAGAAAATTTCTTATATTTTTAAATGTACAGCTAGTTCGTTTTGCTTTTGAAGATGGCAAGAAGCGTTTATTAGAAACCAGATCACCTGAAGCTCAGGCTCTTCCCACGCCTGTCTTCAGCAGCCCCTCCCTTCTCCGGGAAGCCAGCTCTGGCTCTGATCAGATCTGGCTGGTCCTGAGACTGGGACGGGGTGGGCCGGGATGGTGACTGTGGCCTTGCCCTTCACGGACCCCTCGTCCTCTCTGCTGAGGAGCAGAGTAGGGTCCACGTGGGCCACAGGGACAAGGACCGCCAATACAAGCCACTCCCAGGGAGCCCACTGCCTCCCCAGCCTGGTGTGGCTCCCAGAGCCCAGGCCTACGGCTGTCCTGCTGCTGTGTCTTTCGTGTTGCAGATTGAAACATAAATGGATTCTTGTGTGTTCCTGTAACACCTCAGCTTGCCTTTCTCTGGAGATCCCTGGCCGACGGTCTGCCCAGACACGGCCAGGGTCAGGGATGCCAGCCTGGTGGGTATCTCAGCCCGCCCGGGGCCTGGCCCTGGCTGCATTCCATTTTCTTGATGCTTTGACTAAAACTGGATTTTTGTTTTGTTTCGGTTCTCTGTTGTTTCTGACTATCTGCAGTCTGGGGCTTCCCCAGTGGCTCCCTTTCTGACTTCCCAAGTGGGATGCCTGCTGCACCCGTACCCACCATCCCTGTGTCCCAGCACAGTCCTCTGGGCTTCGGCTAGAGTACACAACTTTTTAAAATGAGACTCAGCTATCGTATGTAGGTTTTCATTGTTGCAGTTCTGAGTATGTTACAGTTTTCATTGTTGCGGTTCTCCTTTTGTGACTTTCCTGAATGTGTGTTTTTAAATTCACAAAGATAAGCATTTTGTACTCTCTTTCTCTCCCTCCCTTCTCCCCCCCCCTTTTTTTAATTTGGTAGGGGGGATCAAACGCTAGACTTTGCACTTAGAAGGCATGTGATGGCACCACTGAGCTAAACACCCACCCTCCCTCTCTCTCTCTCTCTCTCTCTCTCTCTCTCTCTCTCTCTCTCTCTCTCTCTTTCTCTCTCTCTCTCTCTGAGACAGGGTAGTTTAGTTTGTCTTTGAAGTCACTGTGTAACCCAGGCTGGCCTTGAGCCCACAGCAGTCCTCCTGCCTCAGCCTCCTGGGTGCCGGGATTACAGTATTTTTCTCATTTTGGGG